TAAAATGGAAACTTAAAAACCCTAACTAATTTTGGCCATTGGGAATAATTGAACAATATTATGATACATGAAAGTTTTTTAATTTTTTTAATTTTTATTTTAAAATAAATAAAAAATTTGGAATTAATTTGAAAGCAACACGAGAACCATTAATCGGGTCAAATTTTCACCTCATTCAATTCCCTCTATTTAAATCTTATATTTTTTTGATAAATGAACAAAATAATAAAGATACACCAAACAAATAAAACACTAGAAAAAGAAGAGTCTAGCCAAGTAGGTATAGTCCTGTAAATGATACTTGAAACTTTATAGTTTGATCTGATTATCACATATTTGGATGAGGTGTTTATGTAATCAGATTTAAATTTTGCAATCTGCATTTGATTAATAATAAAAGACAAGAAATATAAAAACAAAAATAAAAATACATAGTTTATAAAAAATTTTTTGAATATATTATTACTACAATTATCATAACATAGACACATGCAAAGTACATGCACATTTACTAGTATAGATAAAGTTATGAATTTTAGACAATTTAATGTAGTAATGAAAAGGGGAGAATTAATGGCATAATTAATGAGAAGAGATAATTAAAGGGGTTAATAAAAAGGAGGTGAGGGAGTAAATGCTGAATTAATGAGAGGAAATAAAAGTCTTAAAGCTTATATTGGCCATTTGAGTTATTTTGTTAAATTTTAACATGAGAAAAAAAAAGATAAATAATTCTCAAAAATAATTGCTTCTTGAAAATAACCACAAAGAAGAAAAGTACAAGCTTGGAGTAATCTCTCTCTCTCTCTCTCTAGAAGCTTTTTATCCATTTTCTCCATATTTTACATTTTTTCTTATTTTCTTTTGTTTTAAAAAATATAAAACAGTAATCATTGCTTATCTTGATTAGATTAATAAAGCTGCACACTATTAGAGAGAAACCTTTGGGTTTTCCAAGGCCTCTTATTTTAATGCATATTATTATTACATTTAAGAGAGAGAGAGAGAGAGAGAGTATAGTAAATATATAAATCAAGGTTTTTAAAACCGAACTGGACAACAAATTGATCAAAGGTCCAGTTCCCAGGTTCAACGGTATGATCGTTTGAATCGAACAGATAACGCATTCTGGCAAAAATAATAAAAAATAAAAAATGGCCAAAACCGTTGAACGGTTCAAACGGTTTGATTGCTTGAGTCAGCGGTTTGCTAAGCAAATCAATGGTTTTTGGCAAAATAACGGTTCTGGAGTAAAACGGAACCGATTACCTAACCAGTCCCCGATTTTTCCGGTCCGGTTTTGAAAACCATGATATAAACCAAATAATAAAAATAGGTTTAGGTTAAACAGTAAAAAAATTATTAATTTAAAAATCCACTAAACTTTTACTAAAAATAAATATTAACAAAACTTAGTAAATATTAAAAATGTGTTTCAATTCCACTTAAAAATCCAACTTAATAAACACTAATAAAAATAAAAAATTTAAATATAAAAATATTAATTAATAGCTTTAATAATATTATTAGATAACTTATGAGTTGAGACCTTAATAAATGCTAATAAAAAATATTAATCGATAGTTTTAAAATACAACAATTAATTAGAAATTCGAAAGATTCTAAAACACCTAAACATAATTAAAATACTGAAAATTAACAATATTTTATATTAATAAGGGTATTTACTAAAAATAATTAAAAAGTACAATTAATAGTATTTTATTACTAAAAAATAAAAAATTATTAAAAAATACCCAAGCAAAAATTTATTGAAAAATATTTAAAATTAACTATATTTTTTATTGACTATGGTATTTATTTAGTTATTTAATTTATTTTTACTGAAAATAAATGCAAATTAATTTTGTAGTGACTAAATGCAAAAATAAATGATGAAAATATTGAAAATGTTTGAAAAATACTCATATGCAAAAATTACTGAATAATAATGAAAAAACACCAAAAATTAATTAAAATCCAAAAATTTTGAAAAACCTAAAGCTTAATTAAAATACTAAAAATAATTAAAAATTAAATTAATTGTATTTTATTGCAAAAAAAGACTGAATAATAATGAAAAAAATAATGTATATTAATTATTAATAGTAATATAATTAACAATAATTATTTTTAAACTATAGTTAACAATAATTATAATTTAAGCTATAAATAATAAAAAATTACATTTAATTACCAAAAATTTATATTTAATTACTAGAAAATTACATTTAATTAGTTTTAGTCAAGAAATTAGCAATATTTCTGAAAATATGATAATTTCCAAAAATTACTATATTTTAAATAAATACAATATTTTAATAATTAATAATAAAAAGTTACAAATCGTTTATAACTTAACCTAACCCGATTAGATTTATAAATTTGCAAGCTCAAGCAACTATTTTCTTTTGAGTTAGGTCTAACTGAGATGTGCACCATGCCCACACATTATCAAGGATAATCAAATCCGAAGTCTAATTGAGTATCAGATTTTTGGAGTCCATGATAGCTTTAGCGGATAAGGCCCAAGCTAAACAACCCCTAATAAGCTCAACTTGGAAGGTATATGCATCTATGGTAAATATTATTATATAATACTTTAATAACAAATTTTATATTAATATATATAGAAATTTTATATATTTTTTATACTAGACTAGAAAGAGATTTTGTGTATAGATCAGGCTTCGGGCTTTATATAAGGGCCGAACTCAGACTCAAGACCTAGGCCCGGTGGTCGGGCTGGGCTCACACATTTTCTGTTGATAAAGAAGCCCGTGTTAATTATAAAACTATGATTTTTTAAAAATTAAAAATTTTATTACTTTTATAAACTAATTATATTATATTAATTTAGTAATAATTTAATAAATTAATAAACTAATTTATATTTCCTTATAGTAAATTGATATTTATTAATAGTTTAAGAAGCATATATATATTATTTATTATACATAAAATAAGTACTTTTTTATATATGTAGTAATATATATATATATATATATCTATATTATTTAATAAATTAATAAACTGAATAGGTCTAGTTGTATATATAAACAATTGTATACATCAAAAATCATATGAAATAAAAATTTAAACATCTTTTTCATTTTTTTTAAAAAATGGACCTCTCATAGCTTGGCCTGGTTCGCGGCCTGACCTAAGGCTTGGCCTAGCATGACCCGATTTACACCTCTACTTGAGCCCATCAATACTGGGGACAGAGCAGGGAAATTTGAGGATTCCCCATCCTTGATGAGGAGTGGGGTGCTTTGCCCTTGAACTCGCCCGACATTGAGGAGTGGTTGCCTTGCCTTGAACCCACTTGACATTGGGGATGGGGTGGGGATGGAGTAGAGTGTCTTGACTATGGGAAAAGGATAGGGATGGGGTGCCCTACCCTAAACCCATCCCGTTATCATTCCTATATAATTGTTAATTATTAGTGAAATTAATAAAAATGTTAGTTTTTGTAGTTATTTTTATTTATTTATAGCTAATCAAAATTTCATTTAAAAATAATAAAAACAATATCAATTATTAAAATTACTATATTAATAAAACTAAATTTATTAAAAATATTTGTTCATATTAAATTAATAATAATTATTTTGTATAAATCAACATTAAATGAAAATACAATTATTAAAATTTTAGATATTAACAATAACTTTAAATACTTTTAGTTAATTAACAACATATTTTGATTATTAATTTAATATTAATTAATAGTAAATAAAATTATTAAATCTTTCAGATTTTCTTGAACATCTCACGGGTCCACGCTAGTTGAGACAGAGATAATTAGTGAAGTTATTAGGGTAGAGATAGTCAATGGATTGATTAACGAGGAGAGATCATCAAAGACTCATCAAAGTAATTAATTAGAAAGAGAAGAGAGAGAGTTAATGTATTAATGGTGAGTGAGTTCTTTTGTTCAATTTTAAAAATAAAAAAGAGACTAAGTTTTTAGCATTTCTCTTAAACTCATCACAACTTTTTAAAATGTCTAAAACTCACCATATCACTAACTTGACATTAAAGAGACTAACGGCTGTTAATATATTACCATTTTAACCTTCATAGAAAAATATAAATTATATACATATATTTTAGTATTTAGACATGAAAAAAAAGGAAAAATTCAAAAAGAATATTTTCAAATATAAAATACATAAAAACATAGAAATTGCGAAAAATATAAAAAATTATAGAAATTGCACACAAAATAAAAAATTACTTTCAAATTATAGAAACTATAGAAAAATTGAAAAACAAAATTAGAAAATAAAAATTGTAGAAAAAACACCAAAAATTATAGAAAAACACAGAAATTGCAAATAAATAACAAAAAATACAGGAAATTTTATATATTGTAGAAAATAGAAAAATGTACATGGTGTTTGGAAGGGTGGGCACTTTTTGGGACTGATTTTCAAGAAAAAATGCCCATGCTTCCAAGACCCGTTTTTCACAAAAAAAAAACGCTTCTCCCACGTAGGCAATGAGCAACACTATGTTGTTTGGTAAGGTGATTTTCATCACTGTTTTTCATGTATGTGCTGACAGGTAAGCACCACATAGGATACACATTAGTCAAGCGTTGAGGGAAACGGTTCATCGATGCATGCCCGATTTTTTAATAATCGGCTGAACCAAACAATGAGATATATGGGCGTTTGTTGAAACGCCTATGTGGATCCGATGTGGCACCATTTTTTGAAAAACGGCCACGGTTTCAAATATTCCCCTAAAAAAACAGAAATTATAAAAACATTAGAAATTATAATAAAACACTAAAAATGTAAAAAAAAAAGAAAGAAAATTGAAAAATATAAAATACCCTTTTCTTCTAACTCGCCATTCAAGGGTGATTTGGTGATAAAAGTTGTTATTTATAGTGAGGTGGACACACTCTGTTAAGAAACATTAAGAGTGCACTAACGGCAGGTGAGTTTTGTCCAGTCATCCACAGATGAGAGGAGAGAGAACATATATAAGAGAGGAGAGAGAACATCCTTAACAGAAACCGGAATTTCATACTGACGAAATTCCAGTTCAAAGTAACCCGCTTAAAACGGTCTCTCTCTTTGTTTCACTCTACCAATTTTATCTGTGAAAATCCGAATCTTCCGCACTGAATCCGCGTTCATAGGTCGATCTCTAACTGGTTTTTCAATCTTTCTGGCGGCTCGGACGCGGCTCTTGAACTTCTCCTTTACATGCTCTGCCGCACCTTCTCTTGCACTTTTTATTGCAAACGTAAGCTGCCATTTACTTTCCCCCTCGTTCAATCAACCGAGGAGATTTTATTTGTTGATATTTTATCTGTCTTTTGCTCTTATACATCTGCCACTTGGGGTTTTAGGAAATGCCAATTTTTATTCAATAAGTGGAGTTGAATTGGATTTAATTTTTGGGAATCGTAGTACTAGCTTCTGGGTTTTGTCCTTCTGTGTTGGGGATAACTTTTCCAGTTCTTGTTGTTAGTACTTAGTAGGGGTTAGAGTTTGGTGAATGGGGTTTAGAATCATGGTCTCTCCCAATAGAGGTCAGGCGGCTCATTTCCCCCCTCTGGGTAGGCAAGGATCTCTTTACAATCTCACCCTTGATGAGGTCCAGAACCAGCTGGGGAATGTAGAAAAGCCCTTGAATAGTATGAATATGGATGAGCTGTTGAAGAGTGTTGTTGCTGCTGAAGGAAATCAGGTAATTCAGGAACAACTTTCCAGTGTGAACGCCTCATCTTCATCTTCTCCTCCAATCTTTCCTGGGAATTTGAATTTGAATGGGACGCTCAGTAGGAAAACAGTTGACGAGGTTTGGAAAGAGATTGCTCAGCAAGAGCAAGACAATGCAGAAGGTGATGGATCTGTGCAGAGGCAGCGGACCCTTGGGGAAACCACACTAGAGGATTTTCTTATCCGAGCTGGTGCCATTAATATAGGGAATGATAATGGTGTTCTTAATCCTCAGTCCTTGATGGCAATTGACCCAATGGTTGCAGCATCTCAACAGGCAGATTGGTTGCAATTCCAGATGGCTGCTGTTCAACACCAGCAGATGGCAGTCTTGGGTTCAAGTATGCCTGCTGCTGTATCAGTGTTTGGGAATTCAGTTGTAGATGCTGGGTACTCAGGGAACCAACTGGCACTGTCAATGTCGATGCCAATAGTGACGGCAACATCATCAGATTCACAGTCAACAGTTGAAAGAAAGCGACAATTCTCAGATGAGATGATGGAGAAGACTATTGAAAGGAGGCAGAAAAGGATGATCAAAAACCGTGAATCAGCTGCCAGATCAAGGGCAAGGAAGCAGGTGGATTTGGTGGCCCATTTATTTGTTTGTCTTTTACACAAGAAGCCTAATATATTGGGATTTTGTTTGCTCCCTTATCTTCAATATTAAGACTGGCTTTTCTCTTTTTCTGTCCGCTGTGGTGATGATAGGCCTATACCAACCAGTTGGAGAATGAGGCATCAAAGTTAAAGAAAACAAATAAGAGGCTCAAAAGGCAGAAGGTATGTTTGTTTAAGCAAAAATGGCATTGGCATTTATTAGATTTAGATGATTTAACATTAATAATAATATTAAATACTGTTTTTGATTTAGCATGCACTTTGTCATCTCTAGAATAATTGCATACCCAGATTCCATTTCATCTAGCTTTACTAAACACCTCATCTGCATTTTGTTCCACCAAAGTTACTCATACCTTAAGAAGCCTCTTTGTCAAGGGTATTATTTTCTAGCATAGGACATTAGTCCTTGTTATTCTAAAACTGTGTCTTCAATTCCCATATTGGGAACTAGAGTCATCAGTCGGGTGTGCAGGAGAAGTTGCTCACAACAATTTATAATTTATTACTCAATTCAAAAACTTCTCTTAAAACAAACTTCTGTGTTCTATTATCTTCATACTAGAGAAATTGATTCAGTGAAATTCAACTGATTGAAATTACTAGCAGTTCTCTAGGCAACTTAAATACAAATAAAATTATAAATCACAAATATGATAAAATAATATAAGAAAGAATGGAAAGAGGTATCACAGTTAAATGATTGTGAAGTAACAACAACAACAGCTGCAGAAAGGATTGCAGTATTATTAGATGCCCAAAGAAAGTGTAAGTTGATTATCAGCTGATCAGGTATAGAGACTTACACCTCCTCAAGAAAGAGTTCTTTCTGGTGATATATGTCAACAGGACCCCTTGGCACAAGAAACCAAATAGGGCTGCATCTGAAAGGTGTTGAGGTGGGGGGCTTCACCAGGGCTCCTGGACTTCCCTTCCCTTTTATTTCATTTTCTTTCCTTTCCTTTCCTTTCCTTTTCTTTCTTTCTGTACGAGGGTGTGTGAGGGGCATGAGGCATACCTAAAGCATATACCTCAGAGCCATCAAAGTCTCCAGCATATGTTTCAGGGTGTTTGTGCCTTCTCTAAAGCTGTATTTCATGGTCAGTGCCAGTACATTATGGTTTTCAAACCTTGAAAAGACTCTAAGGCAAAAACAGGAAAACAAGAACTTCTATTGACTGTTGAGCCAATTGATTTTCTGGGTTGAGTTTCTATGCTGTCAATGTACCTTAAACAATGTCAAGTCAAGTGGTATCTTTTCTTTTTCAGTTTGTGGATGGCCTGATGAGATATAATTAGGTAGGATTTCCTGTTGTGTTGTTCTGTATTTTGATACGTAGGAACACAGATTATCAGATGTGTAAAGTTGAATCTACTTATAAGTCTAAAACCATGTAAAAGTAGTAACATTTCACCTCTGGAAGATATGGGGTGTAAATGCATATATAACTGGCATGTTACTTTGTTGCATGGAACCTATTTACATAGTGTGTTCATAAATGCATATTTAAATGTACATATACACATACGACAGAACATATTACTCTGAACAGCATGAAGTGAATTGGATTTGTGCACTTTATTTGCAGGATTGCCCTTTAAACCGTCATCATCATCTAAGCCTTGTTCCAGCTATATGGGGTCAGCTACATGAAATTATGTCTTTAATTCCAATAATGGGAACTAGAGTCATGGTGTGCAGGAGAAGTTGCTCACAACAACTTATGTAATTAATTACTCAATTCAAAAACTTTTCAAACAAAAGTTCTATGTTCTACTATCTTCATACTAGAGAAATTGGTTTCACTGAAATTCAACTGATTGAAATTACAAGCAGTTCTCTAGGCAATTTATATATAAATAAAATTATAATTTAAGTAAAAAATATGATAAGAAATACAAGAATGAATGTGTTAAACAACATAAAAATAGAATAGCAAATCAAGGAGAAAATAATAATTTAACGTGGTTTGGCTTGGTAGCCTACATCCACAGAAGGAGAGGAAAAATATCCACTATGAGAACAAGAGATACAACTCTCTCTCTCTCTCTCTCTCACACACACACACACACACACACTCTAACTCACTCTTCCTCAAACCTTAATCTCACACAACCACTTGCTTAAATAAGCAAAAGACTGAAATACATCAGAATTATACAAAAACCCTTTTTTCCCACAAATACATATTAGTCCCCACAATATTACAAATATACCTAAATACAACCAAATACAAGATAACTCTTAACATGCCCCCTCAAACTCAAGGTGGGAAAATCAGATTGAGTTTGCAAGGATGTTGAAGCAACCTTCATGGAAATATGTTTACTATTGAAGCAACAACAGCCATGAACCTTGAGATGTTGAAGGGACCTATGAAGCAATAGTTCACCGATACACCAAGGGAGCTTCACACGTTCACCAACAAAACTACCACCACACTACAAACCATTACCAATTTACAAGCATCCACAACTTGAGGCATCACAACCTCTTTTCCAACTCACAAAATCACCACCAACAAACAACCACAACTTGAGGCATCAAAACCTCTTTTCCAACTCACAGAACCACCAACCACCAAACAATTACAACTTGAGGCATCAAAGCCCTTTTTCAACTCACAAAAAACCACAACTTGAGGCATCAAAACCCCTTTTTCAACTCACAAACAACTATAACTTGAGGCATCACAGCCTCTTTTCCAACCAACCACCAAACAACCACAACTTGAGGCATCACAACCTCTTTCCCAACCAACCACAATTTGAGGCATCAAAATCCCTTTTTCAATTCACAAACAACCACAATTGAGGCATCACGGCCTCTTTTCCAAACAACCACAACTTGAGGCATTAAAGCCCCTTTTTCAACTCACAAAACCAACAACTCACAAAATACTTATCCTGAGGCTAGTAGTCAACTACTACACGAAGCGGTTTCGTAGTAGTCGATTACTATCAATATCCTATTCTTAGTAGTTGACTACTACATGAAGATATTTCATAGTAGTCAACTACTACCTCAACTGAACATGAAATAGAACACCTCCACAACAACCGGAACACCTTCACAACAACTGGAATATGAGTGCTCAAGGTTCGTTTAACCGAACTGTGGACCTATTTTTGAAACCAAACCAGTCCTACCGGTTTCTAGAAAACCGGTAACCAAAACTGAACCGAAGCTGATCGATTAATCATCGGTTTGATTCGTCAGTTTTTCGGTTTTTTTATATTTATAATATATATTATAAAAACATATAAATATAAAATAAAATATAGAAACATATATAATTATATTTAAAATAATAAATAATATATTATATATTTATATATAATGCATATTTATTAATTTATAATATATATAATATATATAGAAATATATGTATACCAATTGGTTTGGTTAACAGGATTTCCGATTCAGTTTCTGTCGGTTTTTGGGTTCAGTCCGGTTTGTCAATTTTTCTTGCTTACCCCTAAACTGGAACACCTTCACAGCAACTAGAACACTTGCTCTGATACCATGTTAAACAACATAAAAATAGAATTGACAAGGAGAAGATAAGAAGAAAAATGGAGAGAACACCAAGATTTAACGTGGTTCGGCTTGGTAGCCTACATCCATGGGAGGAGAGGAAAAATATCCACTATGAGAACAAGAGGTACAATTCTCTCTCTCTCTCTCTCTCACTCTAACTCACACCAACCACTTGCTTAAACAAACAAAAGACTGAAATAAATTAGAATTACACAGAAGCCCCTTTTTCTCCCACAAATACATATAGGCCCCCAATAATGCATAATGATTGCTTCAAATTTTATTGCTGTATTTCATGGTCAGTTTAATTAGATTTATGTGTTATAAAAGTTATTATCTCCTAAGAGAGAGAGAGAGAAGTACCACTTTGGGTGAAGTGGGGGGCATGGTGAAGAAAACAGAAAGTGAACAGGAGTAGAAGGGAAAGTTTTTCAGTAATTTGTAAAAGAGGATGACAGTTTATCCTGGTTTAACCAACCAGTACATTATGGTTTTCAAACCTTGAAAAGACTGTAAGGAAAAAACAGGAAAACAAGACCTATTGACTATTGAGCCAATTGAATTTCTGGATTGTGTTTCTATTCTGTCAGTGTACCTCAAACAGTGTCAAGTGGTATCTTTTCTTTTTCAGTTTGTGGATGGCCTGGTGAGATATAATTAGGTAGGTTTTCCTGTTGTACTGTTCTGTATTTTGATACGTAGGAAGACAGATTATCAGATGGGTAAAGTTAAATCTGCTTATAAGTCTAAAACCATGTAAAAGTAGGAACGTGCCACCTCTAGAAGATATGGTGTGTAAATGTATATATAAATGACATGTTGTGTTCATAAATACTTATTTAAATGTGCATATACACATACAATAGAACATATTACTCTGAACAGTATGAAGTGGAGGAGTGGATTTGTGCACTTTATTGGCAGGATTGCCCCTTAAATTCGCATTTCCTCCAGATCATCATCATCATCATCTAAGCCTTGTCCCAACTCTATGTTTTGCCATTCTATTCTGTTCAGTGCCATATCCATTGTTAAATTATAGGTGCTTAAATCACTTCTTGTAACTTCCACTCAAGTCCTATTTGGTCACATTTCCCTCAGATCCTATTAGATATTAGTTTCAATTTTAGCTTTACTATTTGAATTTGAATTCTCAAATACCTAAACCATATTGGCTGTTAAAATTGCTTCTCTATCTCTAATCATTAGTTCACACACCTTTTATGGTATACAATTCATGGTTCCAAAATTTTCAAGTAATAAACTTCTTTCTTGCTGCTGATTCAAGTAATGAACTTGAGAGCAGTCATTTAGGATGTCCAGGAATTGAAATTAGAGTATGTCAATGATTAGATTTTTGTCCTTTTCCCCCTTGGCTAATGACTTGCTTCTCTCAATGTTACTTTTGAACAGGAGATACAGATGCTTTTACCTTTGGATACAACTCCAGAACTCAAATATCAACTTCGGCGTACTAGCTCAGCATCATTCTGAGAGAGCAGACAAATCTGTCCATTATACTGATTTAATTATTTTATTCATTTTGCTTTTCTGTTTCATCCCTTTTTGGTTTAATTCGTTAGCTTGCAGATCCATGAGGCAATGGTTGTGCATTGAAAGCATTACAAGAGTAAGCTATTCTAATTATGTGGAGTAGGCTGATGTTGAAAGGATGCTGCAACTCTTCACAAAAGAAACAAAAAGTAAAAATAGAAATAAAAACCAAAACAAATTATTCATTTCTTTCTTTTGCACTAGTCATTCTATCACAGCTGATGAATGAAAAGATTCCCCTTCCATCTGTTGTCCAGTAGCACAAGAACTGTGTGAGTGGCCATTTATTTTGATAGATAAAAAACACTACACTAACAAAAGGAATTTACAAACTGGTTTCTATGAGTGGGTGGCCATTCTTTCCATCAATACTGACGGATTTAATTGTCTTAGACGCTTTCAAATCAGCATCTTATTTGTTGAGAATTTCAGTGAGGATCAAAGTTGGTTTATATGATTTTGCATGGCCTACCTTTCTTTCTTTATTTTTTTTTTTTTGTGGGCTTAAATATATGTAGGTATATTAGCAGTATATGGATGGGATGATACTGACTCTTGCAATGGCATTATTTGAAAAACAAAATAAAAAACTTGTTTGCTCATAAGATAACGTTGAGACATCCTCTCGACACTCTGAAATCATGGGCACCATTTGGAAATTCCATGTGCCATCAAGACCTCTAATTTATGGGTAATTAGAATCATCAAAATATCCAATTAACAGAGATTTCTTATTATCGAATCCCTCCCACTGGGTTACAAATTGTACTTAATTGTCCAAATTCAATCTGTTTAGGATAGAATATGGATATATCCTATATCTGATCCAATATAATCCCATTTGTTTCAATTTAAATGTATATGTTTATGTATATTTAAATTTCATGTTGTATTTATTAGTAAAATTGGTTTGAATATTGTATTTATGTTAAATAGTGGTACGTTTCAGTTTCAAATAAGTTCATTTCGTTATTAATATATTATATTTTGATCATTTTGAGTTTAACTTATTATTGCCATTCAATATCCGATTGCAATTTATGTCGATATAAATATGATGGGTAATATTTGATTTGTTCAGAATTGGATGTACCTATATCCAATTCAATCCGATCCGTTTCTAGCCTTAAGCCCAAAGTAAATAGATAAAAAGAAATGATTTTGAATGAGTCTACTAGAGTCGTATTTAATCATTTCACGTTTTTTTACTCTTTCACTGATCAGATCTTCTGGAAACTCAATCATGGTTTTCAAAACCGGACCGGACCAGATGATCGGATCGGAAAAACTAAGAACTGGTTAGGTGATCGATTTTGATTTTCCCCAAAGCTGGAAATTTGCTCAAAATCGTTGATTTTGGTCAGCAAACTGCTGACCCGGATGGTTAACTGATGGAATGGTTTTGACCGTTTTTTTATTTTTTTGTTAAAACGAGACGACTGTTCGATTTAAACAGTCAGACCGTTTGACCCGGTAATGGGACCCCTGATTGGTTCAGTCTCCAGGTCGTTTTTAAAAACCATGAACTCAATGCTGCAATCAAGAATCAAGATTTTGTTACATATTTAGGCGTATCTATATATCGTATTGTATCAGCCCTATCCTGATATGCAAAATAATAAGTAATTTAATATAACCAGGGAGTAGGCCTTGCTAATTTAAAATTTTGAAAAAAAAAACTAAAACAAATGGGAACATATTGGTCAAAACCCCAAAATGCATATTCCAGCATTTTGGGGTGTATTGATATTGTGAATCGTGTCTATAATGTAAGGGTGTTAATCAATTGATATTGGGTTAAACCACATTCAAATCAAAATCAATTTGGATAGATTGAACGGACCAATAAGACATTGAAATGGACCAGTTCAGACTTATGATACAAAATATTTATTGGATTGGACATGATCCATCCATAATAAATTTATATTGGATAGGATTGGGTTGAACTAATATATGGTGCATTAAGAATACAGATATCAATGGACCAGGTTTGGATTGGAACCGGTCTAAGTTAAAACCATTTTGAACAAATTAGATGCTCCAAACATTGAACTGAACTGATTCAATTGACACCCCCCTACTAAAACGTAGCATACCCGAATCACCACCCTTGCAATGTGCCAAAACACATTTTTTGAAGATAAAATAGACCAAGAAACCATGAAGGTATATGGAGAGAGGAACAATGGGAGTTGGTGTGTGTTTTGTTATGTGGGTATTTCACTATTGGCATTTATCAAAATATTGTCATGTTATTACCAAATCAGCATTTTTCTCATTTTAACACTTTTCCCAACGACTGAGTGTTTATTCATTGTTTCAATGATGTAGTGCTTAATTGTCCATAAACGATTTATCAAGTACTTTTCTCGATTTTAAAGACAATTCAAGTACAAACATTTATTTAATAAATAGAAGCTATACCAAACACATACTTGGTTGGGAGACTAAGGTGGTGTTATGTAAATCTAGTTTAAAGTCTGAAAAGAAAAAAAAAAAACCCTCCAAAAAAGCTCTAAAAGTATTATGTGAAAAATTTGTTTTTATGCTTTTGTAGACATCTAAATATAATGGGATTGTTCTGTAATTTGAATCAAGGTTCAAAATTTTGATATATATCAAGTTGTATTGATTGGTACATATCATATTGGGGCCTTCCCAATACACCCATATAAGGGGTGTTTCGAGTCAGACAGTTATTTTAAACCAACTCCTCTAAACCAGATTCGAAAAAATAAAAAATAGAGAAAAAAGAATCAGGCCAATACTTTGAACCTTGATTTGAATGTTGGAATGTTTGAAAAGTTTGTGTTGTAAAAATTTACCCCTTGAGTCATTATTTAAATAAAACTAAATGAAAATAATTAAAATAATATGATATCATAGAAAAATATAAAATATTGTGAATTGATAACAAAATATTAAGAGATAATAAAATAGACTAATATGTTTAAATGAGTAATAAAAAAGGTTAATATTACAAAAATAATAAAACAAATTATGAACAACAATAATTAATAAATAATATCATCAAAAAAATAAAAAACAAAGTTAAAAAGATAAAATAATAAAAAATAGGGTTAAAAATATTATAAATATAGTAAAAATGTAAAAAAAAAAGAACAAGGCGGTGAGATTCTTCACCTCACCAAGTGTCAAACTTACACTTTCCATTGCAATGTCGAGCCAAAGGCGGTGAGCGTGAGATTCAACCTTTCCATTGCAACACTGTGTGCCATATGAGCGTCGTTTTTCCTTCTCCTCCAACAGAGATGAGATGTCGGCGGTCCTATCTAACGGTTCCTGTCACCTGTAATCAGCGTCATTTCTCCTCCTCCGGTAGGGATGAGATGTCGGTGATCCTATCCAACAATTTCCATCACCTACAACTGGTCCTTTGCTGGCAACACCATTTGCAATATGTAATCAACGTCGTTTTTCCTTCTTCGGCAAGGATGAGACATCAGCGATCTTGTCCAACAGTTGCCATCACTTGCGCTGGCAACATCGTTTGCCATGTAATCTGTGTCATTTTGCCTTCTCCTTTGACAGCGGTGTGAAACAGAACAGTCGGTGATCCTGGGTTTGAACCTGGTTCATCGACTCTTTTGTTCATGGGAGGGATGAGGGAGAAAGATCCTTTGCCGGCAACATCATCTGCCATGTAATCGGTGTTGTTTTTGCCTTCTCCAACAGGGTTGACACAAAACAGTCGGCGATCCTGAGTTTGAACCCGGTTCATCGACTCCTCCGTTTATGGGAGAGGCGAGGGAGAAAGAAGAAAGAGGGATAACGAGAGAGAAGGAATTTCGTCCGCTACCTCGGAATGCGATCAAAGGTAGTCTGGACGGTGAATAATTCGAACATTTTTTCGGTGTTTAGATGAGCAATTCGGAGGTGCAGTCGAACTACCTTCAACATTATTTCCGTGTTCGGAGGTGAGCGCTAGCTAACACCACCTTACATTTACTACACCTATTGGAGGGAGATTCAAAATTTCAATAATCTTCTCCCTCCCTCCTTTATTTGGTTTTGTTCTCTTTTCCTCCCGGTGCATTACGAGATTCTTGTCACACGTTCTTTGGAAAAGAATTGATTTTAAGTATTTTAGTATTACTCTCCCTATGCGTAGGGACCCATAAGAGAAGGGCAAAATGTATCTCTACATGCATATGAGGGGTTGGGGTGCTTTTCTGATAGGGCTGTTCATGGGTCGGGTTGAGTTGGTTTATTGGTGTTTTCCAATTGACCCGACCTGCTCGGTTTACCTACAAATGAAATCGAAACCGACCCAGTATTAAGTAAAACCGACCTAGTCGGTTTGAATCGGGTTGGGTCGGTTTGAGTCGGTTTTGTGAATGATTCTCTTGGTATGAACGGTAAAGGATTCAAGTCTAAGAAAACAAAGGCTGAATGCCTAAAAATTAAAAATGATTTGATGGATTAAAATTGATATTTTATATATCAGAAATTTTATATATAATATGTATATTTCTGAAATAAAGCTGAAATAATATATATATATATATATATATATATATATATATTTCTACCAATATATATTTGAAATATATATTAAAACTGAAATATATTAGATATATATATATATATAATATTGAATATATTATATATAAAATATATATCTAAGTCGGTTTGGGTCGGTTCGGTTTATGTTTTTTTGTAACCCAAAACCGATCGGTGCTAAAGAAAAATCAGCCAACTCGGATTGGATTGGACCGGGTTGGTCAGTTTGGTCGGTTTGGGTCTTGTTATGAACAACCCTATTTTCTGATATGCACTCACGAGTTGAAATGGGACAGGATGGGAGTGTAGGTATCCAAAATGTTTTGCCTTTGACAGGTTTAAACTGTTTTGATTTTTGAAATTCAAAATTCTGTTTAAAACATTTTCTATCTTTTTCTATTTGTTTATTTTGTTTCTTTTCGAACAGGTGCCTTGTTGCACTGTTTTGGAGAGACACTTCTCTCTGTAAGGACACAAAAACAATTTTCTTCTATGATTCACATAGGTCTAGTAAGTGAGTGCATGTCTACCAATGGCTTGTGGGTTGTTTTATCTTAGCAACCGATTTGCAAATACCCAACTGCACCATAGGGGGTAAATGCAGTTTTAAGGAGAGTGATCAAGTGGCATGACTCAACCCTCAATTTCTCTACAATCTTCAATCTCATTTTTATAATTCTACAACACTGTCGGAGTTTGGTTTGGAAAGCATTTACCAATAAGTTCCATTTTGCCTTGTTTATATTATTTTTCCAACAATCTTAAAAACGCATTTATGGAATTTATCTCTACTAACCCTATTATGAGAAACCATATACTATCAATAGTTCCCGATTTCTCAAAGATTGGACCTTTCAATGGAATAGACTTGTTCATGGGCTGGGTGGCCCGACGGGCCGGCCCGGCCCCCAGACGGGCTTGGGCACGTATTTTAGCCCGCGGGCTTGACCTCGGGCCTAAAAGCCCGAGCCCGACTATTTTACGGGCCGGGCTCGGGATTTGTTAAAAAAGCTCGGTCTGAGCCCGGCCCGGCCCGACTTTTCCTAAACTACCTAACCCTAACCCTAAATATTTAAAATTTTTCTTTTCATTCTCCTTTCTCACTCTCACTCTCAGAAGCGGCGGTTCTCATTTCTCCCCCTCAACTCTCAGAACCAGTGAACCCAACTGCACTTGCG